TAAATTTATGAGACAAAGAGAAACCCTTCATAAAAGAAAGATATTAAGATGATGAAATAATTATAAAAATATACACACCTAAAAATATAACTGCAAAATAGTTAAAACAAGAATGGCAGAACTATGAAGACAAATCTGTACAACTATTGTAATTAGAAAGCTAAACTCTATTATCTGTTTCGTTAAAATGAGAGACTTATTTCTCTTTGATAGGTCAAATAAATGAAAAATAAGAAAATATATAAAAGTTTGGTTTATATGATCTATAATCTTGAATACATTGGCAGCAGTGGTGAAGAAAGTGAGCTTTAAAATGGGTAGAAAAAACCATTTCTTCCAAACAAATGTAATGTTCACATATACTAGGTCATCAAGGAAGCCTCATCAAGTCAAACTATGCTATCTAACTTTAATGCTGTATAGTTTGGAATCTGTACTAAAGTGAAAACTAAAGTACTGTACATGTTTGAGAAGAATTACAAACTACTAAATTCTCTTTGGATTGAAGAGGGCATTTTTACAGGGATTAAAAATACTTTGATCTGAACAGCAATAATACCATGTGAAAATTTTTGGATTACAGCTAAAGTAGTACTATGAGATAAATTCATAGCTTTAAGTATATTTATTAGAAAACAATAAATATTGAAAATAAGCCAAATAAGCTCAAAAATGAGAATAAAAGTCAATGAAATAGAGAATAGCAATCTAAAAACAATAACACAAAAAGTTAAAGCTAAAAGCTGACTTTGAAAGGACCATTTAAGATGCATAAAATTGATTAGTAAAAAGAGTAAGATGCAAATAAGATACAGGGTGAAGAAGGAGATATGATGACTGTCACAACATATTCTTAAAAATCATAAAATAGTATTATTAACTATATGCTAATACTTTAGAAAGCTTAGACAAAATGGATAAATTCTTGGAAAAATAAAGAATACCAAATTTGGCAAAATAATTGAATAAACCAATATGCATTAAAGAGAGTAATAAGCAAGTTCTTTTGCTGAACAAACCAATCGTAATAAAAATTATATGTTTAATTCCCTCTCATCAGACTGTGTTTTAAAAAACATATTTGTAAATAGATTTCCCCATTAAAGTCTTTATTGTTGTTCTCCTTCCCATGGGACCAACTATAGCTCACATGAGAGCTCTGGGGGAGAAATTCTTAATAAAATAAATTTGGGGTTCCAATACAAATTTTAACATGTGTGAGATATAATGCACGTGTCTGACACTTAATAAAACTCTCTAAATTTTATAAAAAAAAAAAAAGATATTTAAATAGTAATAAAAGACACCCTATCCTTCTTCACCAGAACTTCAAACTCAGTTTTACAAGAGAGTATTAATGAGCTTTCAAGCAACAGATAGTCCTTACCTTACAAAGCTGCTGCTGCAAAAAAAATAGAAAAAAGAGAATGACTCCTTAATTCACTTTATATTGATCTGGTTAGTATAACCATGATTCAGCAAATTATAGTTCTGATTGGTTTACGAGTTTTAATGCAAAAATCTTAAATGAAATACTAACTTACTGAATCCAACAATCTATTAAAAATAATGTAACATGATCAAGTTAAGCAATGCAAGGATGGTATAATATTAGAAATTTAATTAATGTAATTTACCTCTATAATGGAATGAAGATTAAAGGAATGTGACTATCTCAGTAGATACAGAAACAAATCATTTAATACATTTCAAAACATTTCTGATAAAAACTAAAATAGCCTTCTTAAAGGCTGCAACAAACATTGTGCTTAAATGGGGAAATTTCTAAGCATTTCATATAATATGGGAACAACATAAGAATGCCCACCTTCATGGCTAGTATTTAGTGTATACCGGAGGTCCTAGCCCACCAAGTAAACATAGAAAATAAATAAAATGTATAACTGATGAAAGGGAGGAGAATAAAATTCTATAATTTATAGCTGACAAAATCATTTACATGGAATTTACAATCTAATTTACAGTAGAATCAACAGATAAACCAGTAGATCTAATCAGGGCATAAACAGTTTACTACTGCTGCAGTCTACAGGGAACTCTACTCAATGCTCTGTGGTGACCTAAATAGGAAGGAAATCCAAAAAAGAGGGCATATATGTATACATATAGCTGATTCGCTTTGCTGTACAGCTGAAACTAACACAACACTGTAAAGCAACTATACCTCAATTTAAAAAAAAAAATAAAGGGAAACCTCAAATCAAAAGAAAAAAGAGAAATGTAATAAAACATATGACTTAAATTTATAACAACTAAAAATAGTTAGCAATTAAACGAACAGAATATACAAGACTTCTGTAATGAAAATTTATGATTGCATTAAAGACCAGAAAAGATGGCCTGACAAAATAGATGTAGCATGTTTATATGGGAAAACATCCCAAGAATATCAGTTCTCCCCTAATTACTCTACAAATTCATTGCAACTTTACACAAAATTCCAGGAAGATGTTTTGAGAAACTTATTTATTCTAAAATGTATGTGGAGGAATCAAGGTCCACAAACAGCTAAATTGGTTTTAAAAAATAAGAGTGAGTGCTTATCCTACCAGACAATTAAAAGCCAGAGTATTAGAACAGTTGTGATATAAAGGAGATGCCATAAGTCAGAGGGGGGAAAATGAATTACTGAGTGAGTTGAAATCAGAAAACCACTTAAATATATATGGAAAAATACAAAGCTGGATTCTTACCTCTCACCATGAACAAAGGTTAACCCCAGATTAATCATTTATTCAATAAATATTTATTGAGCATCTACTATGGGTGAAGGACTTTTCTAGACACTGGATATATGCCAGTGAAAAGGGCGATAAAGTCCTTGCCATCTTTAAGACCCTAACTGCAGAGTGTAAAAGTATAAAGTCAGTAGAAGAAAATGTAGGATAATTTTTTTTTTTCCACGATCTTGGAGTGGGGAAGGGCTTGTAAAACAAGGATCAAAAAGCACAAAGCATAAGGCAAAAAAAGCACTTAATGGGCTTGATTACATCATAATTAACTCTGAGTACCCTTTATGACCCACCCATATAATCCAGAGGAAGTCTTTTACACTTCCATAAAGAGACTTGCTCATGGTTGCTCATCACAGTTTTGTTACTGGTAGCAGGGAGTTGGAACCAACTTAGATATCTCTACCTCTAGTGGGAAGCAAATTGTGGTGGATGCATGCTGTGGAATACCATGCATCAGTTAGAGGCACTGGGTTGGATGTACACTCAACATTATGGAATAGAACTAAACATACTATTGAGTGAAAAAAAGTAATAACAGGATTGGAGCAATAGCACCATATCATGCACGTAAATGTAAAAGATATATATAGCCACAACCAATTCTGTATATTCTACAAGGGTGCATACATACCATACATACTATATCAAATAGTACAGAGCTGGTTCTATTGAAATGGGAATTAGGGATGAAGGGAAGAAAAATGAAATAAAACAAGAGTCTTGTACGGGTTGATGGTGGTAATGAGTTATGAACAAAGGAATGTGATTACTCTCCATACCTAAGTCACTTGGACCACAGCAGAGGGAGGACTGTTTGAATGTAGGATAGCTCCAGTGGGTTCAGATTTCTTTCTTATATTTGGCTAAAACTGCCCTCCTATAAACACCCAGCCATTGGTCTGAGTTCCGCTGTCTGGCATTGTACCCAGTGAATCTTCAGGCTCTTTCACAGAACAGCACTTCAAACACTTGCAACGACTGCTTTAGTTTAAGTTTTCCCTCATCCAGTCCCACATACTCAGAACTTTCAGCTGTTCTTCATATGACCTGTTCACGGTCTTCTAAATTTCAGGGAACTATAGCATGACATCCACAACAGCTATTAAATGTGGCTTACTCGTTTGAAAAATATGCTGAAAACCCACTGGCACCAAGCATCATGTAAGGTGGGTGCTACGCATATATGCTCAGAAAAAAGGAGATCACTTCCACGAGAGTTATAACTGAAAGGTCTTGAATTAATAGTCACGTTCTACTGGATTTTGAAATGTATAAAGTTCAAACAAATCTCTGCTATCCAGAATAAGTGGCCACATTTTATGTATATTGATTTATTCGGTCATTTATTTAAGAAATATTCACTGAATATATTTTCTGTGCCAAGGCTTGCTGCAGGCTCTGACAACTGGAATATGCTTCTTTGTACCATGGAGAAAGGATCAAAGACCCAGGACCCTGGAGAGCAGGTTTGCTCTGGTGTCCTTTACCGAACCAACCAGAAGGATTTGGCCCCCTCAGCTCTCTGAATATGGCTACAGTGCACTTCTCTCTACTATGGTTTGCTGTGACCCAAAAGTCAGAACGGCTCGTGCTTTGGGGTTCCAGACACAATGCCTGCTCATGTTTCCCAGAGATCTAAGTTCCTCTCTTTAATAACTTTAAAAGGTAAGGCTAGTGGGGTGAAATGAATCACTACGGTTTGAAGATGGGTGATAGAATGGGCATAGAATTTGGTACATTCCACACTAATCAGGTCTTAACTCTGCTGGGGCATTGTGTACCCTTCTGCTTAGCCACTTGTTTTATAGATGAAGCAACAGAGAAAGAGAAAGAGGAAGAGGTTGGTCTGCAGTCACGGAGCCAGGACTGGAACTCAAGCCCCTAACTAGCAGCCAACGCTCTCTCTTCTCTCCCCTCTGGTCACGTGGTTGAAAGGGGGACGTCAACTGTGATGTAGTGGTGGCACCTTTAACAAGTCAAGGAGAATAGGTTCAGGCTGTTCTATTGCAAGAAAGAAGAGTGAGAGGGGAAAAGGGGTTTCGAAGCTGCTCAAGGTGTATGCATGGGAGGCGGGGCAGGGGAAGTGATTTCTCTGAGACTGGTGGACAGTCACTCACACCAGGAGAGTCTAAATTGTCCCCTAGAGTTTGGCCTTGCAGACCTACACCTGCAGGAGAAGCAGGGTCACTGGTGAGAGCTATCACCCCATCTCTTCTATAAGTGCTTTGTCCAGTCTCCTTATCTTCAAGGCAAGACATCCACATAATCGCTGTTACTGTTCTCTGGGGAAAAAACAGCAGAAGACCAGCCATGAGGCTCAACACCCAGGAGTCACACTGACCAACACCAGTCAAGGGAAAGACTTCTCCCCAGGCAGAGGGTGATCTTGATGCCACATCAAAGTGACACCTTCAAGGGCTGGGGTACCACAGGGAGCTCTCCTGGCAAAATAGGGGGTCTGTTTATAAGTCGAACATCGGAGTTTCCAGGACCAGATGCCTTCACTCACCAGCAGAACACCTGTGCCTCCCTCAGAGTGAGAACACCTAAGGCTTGTTCTAAGGAGGCCAAGGGAAAGGGAGGAAGAAGATGAGCTAATGGGAGGAAGTTCCCACTTTGGTAGCTGAGGATTTGGGAGCTTGCTCTGCCAAGGCTGGCCAAGCATGGACAACTGGTATGGCGAGACTCTCGCCCAGTTCTTGGGGACGAACTCTAAAGGGTTCTCCTGTTGGAATTTGTGGTTACGTTATCATCACTGAGACGAATACTACCACCACCCCAAGCATCCTGAGCAACTCATCTGGGTTTGCCTGAGGACTGCAGCACAGGCACATCCCTGGGTTTCTACTCTGCCCCCTTTTGTTCTTCTATGTGCTGTGGAGGGTTCAGGGAAGACCCAACCATGCTTTAAAACCTAGTTGGGAACAGGAACCACACCTTCAAAATCTATAAGTTATGGTAGAAAATGGCCGTGGGACTACATCTGCAGCTGAACCTATAGGAAGCGGGTGCATGGGTCGCTTCTCCTCTGGGTGCACACTCCTCTATGTGGGGGAAGGGGGACAGAGAAAATGGTAGAGGAGGGTTTTGGGTTTTGTTTTTTTTTTCCATAATTAAAAAGCCACTCTTAGTCTTGTTGGGGAGATGAGAAGTTTGCTCTGGCAGTCTAAAGGGAAACTTTGCTATAGACAGAGTACAATGGGTGTGGGGTGATTGCAGGCTCCCCATCCTCCGCCCTTCTCCCTAGCTAGCACTTCTGGTCCCATCCCCGTCACCTACCCACTGATGACTGAAATCCCTTTCATGGGGCTATCACCACACATCCCACCTTGAGAAGACAGGGTTAAACTGTAAATGTCTCAGGAAGTCTGAGTTAAATTCGAGCTATGTTGTAACTGACAGATACTAGATTCTCTTCTGAGAGCAGACTTGCAGGGATGTAAGCAAGAGTAGCTGCTTGGGATATGATCTGGATTCTCCTCACTCAGATTTACTGACCATCTCTCCTTTTCCACCATGGCTTAATAACTTTTGGGGTGTATCTGAAATAATTATTCCCCTAACACTATATAAATGAATGCTTAGCAAATATTGAGCAAACTGTAACAGGATGAGGCTTGGGGAGAGGGTTGAAGCAATTTTCTCATTTGAAAATTCTGCTTGTTGGCCATCTATTCCCAAACCTGTGTTTTTTGCACAAGGTCACAGAATGAGTCTGAAGTCAGCTCTTGGAGAGTGTTCAGGAGCCACTCTTACTCCCCGGGCTGTCCAAGCACAGAGAGCTCTATGTGTTTGCCACCTCCAGGAGCTCGAAGGCACCACTTCCCAACAAAATGGAAAGTGCTCTTCATAGGATGAAGCTTTTTAGAGCTAACATCATAGAAAGGGGAAATTATCTGTATCGGTTCTGCAAAGTAGGCCAGTGGTGGAAATGGGACTAAGGTTCCTGTTTGGCACCCGTGTGAAAGTTTTTTACCATAAATACCATCCAGCTCTATCTTCGATCTTCTCCATCTCAGGGAGGGACAGGTTCTCTTTATTGGCCTTAAAAGGTTGAACCACCAGCCCTTGATTTGGTTTTTCAAACTTGGAGATCAGTTCCTCTAGGTTTGGAAAGATCTGTCTTTGAGCGCCTTCCACGGTCTGCAAAAACGCAAGATCACTCATCATCGTGCAACTGTATGTGAAAGATGACACTTCTCAAAACAGTGGTTTTCAGGGCTGCCTCTGAGTGGTGAATTGAAAACAGGCGGCCGACACTTCTTGTGTGGGAGCTCACACCGCACGCAATAACCAGAAACCCTCCTTTTTAAAATGGAATTCTGACTTGAGCTACTCGGAGTAAAGAAGATTAACAATCAGAGGTCCCCACCTCAGTCTGCAGTATCGAATGAGCCCCCATTCTTGGCAATTTGGGGACAGTTCTTGTAGGTACACTGTGGAGGGTACCCCTCTAAGAGCTTATGTCAGAGTGCGGGGGACTAATATGGGAGGACTTCTGATGGGAAATGCAAACTATGCAACTTATGTACTTGATGAATTCAGACTCTCCATGAGAGGAAAACAAGACAAAAAAGTCCCGATTTAAATTGAAAATGGGAATGTCGACATGACTCAGGTAAATTGTGAATAGTTGTTTTCTCTTTACCACCTACAGACCAAGTACAATTTTCTAACATAATCTTATAGAAATAATTTAAAAACACAAGAGCTTCCTTGGCTCTTATGTATTTGATTTTCTTGATGATCACTGTGGTTCTCTTAGGACCACAGTGTTGTTCTACAGAGGGGTGGTGACAGGAAGGCTCTGTGACCTGGGGTGTAGTTAACTTCCATGACAGAGATGCAGGCTGACATGGAAGACGGCTCTACAAAAGGCTGTCACTTCAGCCCAAGGTAGCATCCAGCACAGGCCCTGATACAGAGCTGCTCAATGAAATGCCCCTCTGTGTCTGTTATAACTGATTTGGATGCCTCTCTGTTTTGTTCAGACAAGAGACAAAACGGGGTATTAAGGAATTATCCAGAATTTCCCAAAATACAAAGAAATAAATGTTTTAAAATATGTTGCTTTAAAAGCTGCAAAAATATTTTTTAAATTTCCACATATAACCTTCACCCATATCCCAAATGTTAACATTTTATTGTATTTACCTTTCATTCTCTCTCTTTCTAAATATATATGTGTGTGTATATATGTATACATATATGTATTCTTTTTTCAAAAAAATTATGAGAGTAAGTTGCTGACATGATATCCCTATGACCCTAAATACTTCATATTTCCTAAAAAGCAAGAACATTACATATCCACACTAAAATGAGGAAATTAATGTTGTTGTTTTTTTCAGGTACATTTCTAACTAAATGAACAGACCTGACCAAAGACAGTTTAGAATATCAATGGCCATTATAGGGAACTTTTTTTTTTTTTTAACATCTTTATTGGAGTATAATTGCTTTACAATGGTGTGCTAGTTTCTGCTTTATAACAAAGTGAATCAACTATACATATACATATATCCCCATATCTCCTCCCTTTTGTTTCTCCCTCCAACCCTCCCTATGAGGAAATTAATCTTGATGCAATACTATTACTAATCTACAGACCTGATGCAGATTTTGTCAGTTGCCTCAATAATGTCCTTTGTGGCAAAAGAAAAATTACGTGTGTGTGTGTGTGTGTGTGTGTGTGTGTGTGTGTGTGTCTGGGGATCATTGTATATTCTAATCTCTTTCAGATAGTCACAGTGAACTTTAGCGTATTGAAGATTCTGAGAAACCCTGCAGTAAAAATACCTGCTTAACCTTTATGCAAGTGTTTCAGAAAGATTAGTTCAGGAGTCTATGTTAGTAATTAAAGATTCAATGACATTTATTATACTCTATTTCCTACCAGAGAAGTAACTTCAAAAAAAAAAAAAAAGGTTTTTCTGCTTAGCTCTCAGTAAACCAGAAACATTAATGAAATCCCTAAATTGCCAGTTGACTGATGCTCCCCTTTGCATTTTCATACAGCTATGGTGTCCCTGAATGTTGACTTCTTAAACATTCGGACCTCTCCCCACCTTCCCTTTCCACTCATCCTGTTCGTTGTTTAGTCTTATAATTTGACAGTAGTCTTATATGGAGTTCAGGTTGGTATATTTGACCCCTGGAGGAACTTTGTGCCTCTACACTTTTGAACAACAGCCTTGTTTTGCTTGAAAATGGAACCCAACTCTAGTGCATTCCTATTTCTCTGAAAGAAAGACAAGGTTAACTACTGATCTGATTCTAACTCTCTGCAGTGCTTCCCTGTTTAGAATGCCTCTTCAGGGCATCTCAGGTTCAAGAGATGTTCTCAGGTTTTTCTCCCCCCAGCTTGTGTTGTTTTTGTTATAGGAGTTCTTGTATGTTCTTACCTGTAAATTGTAATATCCATGTTTCTCTTTGAAGATTCGGTACGTGTAGACCAAATTTTTAAACCTGTGGAAAGATGACTGTGTGAATCACAATGTTCTTATATGCAAATCCAGGTAACATCTACCACTGTATTTTGTGTGCAATGCCTTAGTCAATCATGGATCCCAAAAAGAAACTGATCATTTTCAGGCCTTCTCATCTGTGGGAATTTGACAGAGAGGTTTGAAAATGGAGACCTTTATTCTACGGTGGAAATCTGGGCTGTAGCAAAGAGAATAAGGAGAGAAATTTTACAGTTTCCATTGTCTTGGTATTTCTCTCTAGTTTTTTCACTTAGCCCTAAGTTGATACAACATACAAAACACCATCAAGCCATTCCTGTGTTGTTTATTAAGTGACAGGTCATTGACCTCATTAGAGATAGTTAATGTAACTAAAATAGAGAAGGTTGGGAATTTTGTGCAAGGAAGTGATGTATTGTGCTCTTTTTCCTCACTGGAACAGGAGCCACTGGGTAAGTAATCTAACTAGAATTTAGATAACAGACTCAACTGAGCAATTTCCAAAACAGGAAACAGCATACATTACCATATTTCCTCAATTCCAAGATGTCATCAGTTGTAGGATACAGTCAATTTAGTAGTAGCTTTTGAGGAGAAAAATGCATACATTAAATGTCTCTATCAACTGTTAACTATGTTCTGATTCCAAAGAAATATTAAAATGTAAAAAATGAGGATAAAAAACATTGACATGAAGTTCAAATTATCTGACTGATCACTCCTCACCCTTTCACTTGCACCCATGCCAAAGAATCACATGACCCATCTTTTGACTGAATTGGGAAGGCAGATAGCTATAGCTTTAAGGTACAGGCGACGTAATTGCTGATCGTCTGGTGGCTTTGACAATTGACTTCAAATCCCAATCCTTTTTGTGGGGTTTCCTGAGGCCAGAAGAAGCTAGTGGGTGTCTTTAAATCACATGACAAGCAACAAAAAGTTTTTACATGAATCCTTGTCTATATGTGACAAATTAAAGTATTCCACAGTCTGGGAAGAGGTCTCACAAGTGTCTTTTCACAGGAGTATTATTCAAATCGGGATCCAAACAAGGTCCATACATTGCTTTTGGTTGCTCACATGGTTTCTTGAAACTCAACTATCATATAGCCTAACTTAAATTCTTAAATAAATGACTTTATTTTTAATTACATTGTTGTATTATCAGCCTAAGAAAATCTTTACTAGAGTAGTTTGAAAGAATAAAACAAATGGAGGTTCTATATTAATTAACCCAAAAGCCATATACTTCAAGTTAGAAAGACGGACATTGCTCAAATATAGTCTTATTCTTTGCAAAGTATTTTTAATGAAATAGGCCACATTGCAGTGATGCTTTATAAGAAATTGATTTACTGAACTTGTGATACCTATATGCATTTATTTTGGAATGTTTACCCCAAAAAGTGCTGTAAGAGATTACAGAGCAGTGAGATTAGTATCTACTTTATACAATTGCAATATTATTGGGTCGACATAAAGACTTATTGTAATGCCTCCTATTCTAATTATTATTTTATAGATGTCACTTACAAAACTTTTAAAAGATACATGATTTTTCAGTGTGCATTTACACTCAAGGCAGTTATAAAGACCATGTTTCCCCTGGGCCTTCTGCCCCTGTCACTATGGTGACGAGGGAGCCCCTCTTTATCCCCCAACACTCACAGTCTTGTCTCCACCCTTTGCCTGGAATCCACTGGGCTAATCTCATCATGCCCTTTATCCCTGTTTGTTAGTCATTGCAAGAACCCCAGTCTCTCAGGATCTCTTTTCTCCTGTTTTCTAATCCTACAAGGCTCTGTACAGCCTGTATTGTGTCCTCTCCCCAGCTCCTGAAATCCTTCCTTGTGTTCTCTAGCACTCAAGGTCTGCCATCATCAAAGTCTCCTATGTCTTCAACCTATTCTCTAATCATCCCTGTCACCTTCTCACTCTAAGGGAAACCTGGCTGTGTCCCACGGACACTGCTTCCCCAGGACCCCACTAAAAGGCTGCTGCTCTCTCCTCACTGCAGGCCTGGAGGGGAGGCCCGTGTTCTTGCTTTTGCAGCTCTTCAATGTTGTTTCCTGTCTCCAAACCCTCAGTTTTGAGCTTCATGTAGATTATATCACCTCCTACCCAATCAAGATGTCACTATGCTGACAGCTCCTCAACTCTGTGTACTGCGACTCATTTCTCCAGGATTTAGCTCCTAGCTCACTGTCACTGTCTTCAGTACCATTCCTGACTAAATGGTTGGCAATTTCAATTCACGTGTAGATTATCCTTTAACATCCCAATTTCTCAGTTCCTCGAATTCCTCTGCTTCAATAATCTTGTCTTCCACCTACATCGCCTTCTCACTCCCATGTTCATAACCAGGACTGGCTACATAATTTGTGGGGCCCATAGAAAAAATGAAAATTTAACACTCCTCTTAAAAAATTATTAGGAATTTTGAGATGGTGACAGCAGAACAGTAAACCAAGTGCAGGGCCCTCTGAGTGTAGGGCCTTTGGTGGCTGCATAAGGTTGCACGCCACAAAGCCAGCCCCACTCATAACTTTGACCTTGTAATTGCCAATATGGGCAACCCTCCCATAATGTGAATTTCATGCATCCCACTCTCTTTCTCCTGCTTCCCGTCTTTCCAGATCCCTTCCCCAACATTCCCTTGACCCCATAGACTTTCCAATCCATTGATCCTACCACTTTTCAGTGTTCTCACTCACATGTCTTCACTCCCTTCTTTACCCAGTTTAGATTGCTTGTCAACCATTACAATCACCCCCCTTCAAGTCCTTTATCATCTTTCACTTTATTTCCTTAATTAGCAGAATCCTGATTAAGCCCAAATCGCTACAGCTGTATGTGGCTGGGAGACACAGCCATGTTCACTGTTCTCTCTTTAAAAGACCACAAACATCAAGTGGGCTCTTAATGCCTCCAGGTGATCATTGATTTTCCTATTCTCCTCAACAATGATTCTACACCATTTCCTTTCTTCTTAAACCTTCAACGTCTCATTCTTAACTGATGATTTCACCAAAAAGATTAAAACAATCAGAAGAGAATCTCCAGATTCCCATCACCATAAGAGCATAATAGCATCTACAAGCATAGACTCTGCCTTTGTTACCGTAGTTGAACTTTGCATGCTGCTCTGCAAAGCTAATCCCTCTTATTTCCACTGGTTGCCATCCGCTTTCATCTATTCAAGGACATAATTCTAGCAATTATTCCTCTCTCTCTGGTGTCATTATTATTCTTTACACAACAGCCAGGGTGCTCCTTTTAAAAACTGTGCGTCAGATCATGTCATTCCTCTGCATAAATATCTGGTCTAGTCAATTTTGAAAAAGAAAAATAAAACTGGTGTGTGTGTGTGTCTGTGTGTGTACGTGTGTGTGTGTGCACGCAGTGGGGTGCTTCTGTCTTAACAAGTCTTAAGTCTTCTTATAAAGCTATAATTAAGATAGTGAGAGTGAAGTAAGTCAGAAAGAGAAAAACAAGTGCCGTATGCTAACGCGTGTATATGGAATCTAAGAAAAAAACAGTACTGATGAACCTAGTGGCAGGGCAGGAATAAAGATGCAGACATAGAAAATGGACTTGAGGATGCGGGGAGGGGGGAAGGGAAGTTGGGGCGAAGTGAGAGTAGCATTGATATATATACACTGCCAAATGTAAAATAGATAGCCAGGGGACCTTCAAGATGGTGGAGGAGTAAGATGTGGATATCACCTTCCTCCCCACAAATATAACAAAAATACATCTACATGTGGAACAGCTCCTACAGAACACCTACTGAACGCTGGCAGAAGACCTCCGACTTCCCAAAAGGCAAGAAAATCCCCACATACTTGGGTAGGGCAAAAGAAAAAACAGAGATAAAGGAATAAAGACGGGAGGGAGCTGCGAAGTAGGAAAAGTTTCCACATAATAGGAAGCCCCTTCACTGGTGGAGACAGGGGGTGGGCAGCAGGGGGAAGCTTCAGAGCCACGGAGGAGAGCATAGCAACAGGGGTGCAGAGGGCAAAGCGGAGAGATTCCCACACAGAGGATCAGAGCCAACCAGCACTCACCAGCCTGAGAGGCTTTTCTGCTCACCTGCTGGGTTGCGGTGGGGGGGGCGGGGGCTGGGAGCTGAGGCTCAGGCTTCAGAGGTGAGATCCCAGGGAGAGGACTGGGGTTGGCTGCATGAACACAGCCTGAAGGGGGCTAGTGTGCCACAGCTAGCCAGGAGAGAGTCTGGGAAAAAGTCTGGACCTGCCTAAGAGCCAAGAGGCCATTGTTTCGGGGTGCGTGAGGAGAGGGGATTCCTTCACTGTCTGCCCACAGAAGTCAGAGCACCACCTAAATGAGCTCCAGAGATGGACGCGAGCTGAAGCTATCAGCTCGGACCCCAGAGACAGGAATGAAATGCTAAGGCTGCTGCTGCAGCCACCAAGAAGCCTGTGTGCAAGCACAGGTCACTATCCACACCCCGCAGGGAGCCTGTGCAACAAACCACTGCCAGAGTTCTGTGATCCAGGGACTGGTTCCCCAGGAGAACACATGGTGTGCCTCAGGCTGTTGCAATGTCACACCAGCCTCTGCCACCGCAGGCTCGCCCTACATTCCAATTATAACTACCGTACCCCTCCCTCCCCCCAGCCTGAGTGAGCAAGAGCCCCTAATCAGCCTCTGCTTTAACCCTGTACTCTCTGGGTGGGAATAGATGCCTGAGGGTGACCTACATGTGGAGGTGGGGCTAAAACCAAAGCTGAACCCCAGGAGCTGTGCGAACAAAGAAGAGAAAGGGAAATTTTTCCATGTAGCCTCTGGAGCAGCGGATTAGATGCCCACAATCAATTTGATGTACCTTACATCTGTGGAATACCTGAATAGACAACGAATTGTCCCAAAATTGAGGCGGTGGACTTTGGAAGAAACTGGGGGTTTGGGGTTTGCTGTCTGCAACTGATTTGTTTCTGATCTTTATGTTTATCTTAGTATAGTTTTTAGTGCTTGCTATCG